GGAACTAGGGATTGAACTCAGGCCCTTGCACTTGCGAGGCAAGCACTTATTCTACTGAGCTAACTCCCCAGACCTTCTAAAGGTTACTTTTAAAGCAGATCTACAGTGAAAATAAAAGCCAATGCTCATGTGAAAAGTTTGTAGCTTCACCTGAAAGAAGCAACTGCAAAGTTGGGGCCATGAAGAGTGTAGTTGCTACAAGGATAAGCATTAAAGAGAAGCCAACTACTTTGCACGAGTACAGTAGGAAAGATGACTTGAAGACATCTCAGAAATTAGAAAGATCTCACTTTCACAGGTTTCAGGAAGCATAACTATAAAGTTTTCATTTATAGAAGAGAAAAGAGTTCCTGGGTCCCCTGCTTGAGAGGGGCTTAAGTGGTTTGTTGGGATTCTTTTCACAGTGCTGAGCCATCCAGGCACTCAGAGGCCTCTGCAGCCATGATCTAAGTGACCCTGGGTACTGTTGAGCTGTCATCAGACCTTGTAGTCACCCACCTGGGGCTGCTCTTACAGGTGTGCAGAATGCAAGAGGAATGAGGTCATGCAGACTTCTGCCAAGAGTTCAGAAAAAGGCCTGGGAGGCCGGATGGTGTGCCTCCTGAGAGAGCCACCTGGGAAGCTGTGGCACTGGAGACCACGGAAGTTAGAGATGGTGGGAACATGGTATGTCTGCTAAGGAAAGCTGCAGGCAGTGAGCAGGGCCACCCCAAGAGAGGCCATGAGAGCTGCAACTGGCAATGCTACAGGGCCAAGGAGGCCGAACCACTTTGGAGTACATGTCTCACCAGAGCCTGGCCCAGGGGCTGAACATGGTGCTACAGGATTTAACACTTGTCTTGCTGGGGGTTGGTTTTGCTTTGGCTAGATTCCTGCCTTTTCCCTTCTTCCTCCATTTTGGAATAGGAATGTTTAGCTTATGCCATTGTATGTTGGAAATATTTAGTTTTCTTTTTTATTTTTATAGGAATTCACACCTAAGAGTTTGCCTTGAGTATCAGAGAAGATCTTGAACTTGGACTTTTCAAGTGTACTGGGACTGATAAAACTTTGTCAACTCTCAGAGACAGGCTAAATGCCTTTTTATAATGAAATGGACATGATCCTTTGAGGGGCTTGGAATAGAATGTTACGGTTCAGAGCTAAAGTGTCCCCCCAAAGTCTATCCTGGGGGGCTAAGCAGTGGCTATGCTATTAGGAGACAATGTCTGATGGGAGGTGGGTCACCAGAGGTGAGGCCCGCAAGGGTGCATTCTTGGTTTGGCTCTTCCTCTCCTTTCTGGTTGCGATGGTTGAGCAGCTGAGCTCCGCAATCCCCTTGCTCCATGACATTCCTGCCCTTGGAGCCAGCCAATTTTGGACTGACCCCTCCGGAAACTATGAGTCAAAAAAATTTCTCCTCTTTTAACTTGGAGGTCCTGGGTATTGTGTCCCAGGGACAGGAGAATGACTAAAATAGGGTGTGTTGCAAGCTCTGAGCCGGAAGTCACAACAACTTTGTCTCTTCTTGGGCCAGGGAAGACTTTTTTCCAGGCCTTTGGCACTCCTCTCCCAGGTCAGACTTTGGAGAGTCTAAGCCTGGTGAGAAGGCCCCAGACTGCAAAAGCACAGCGGAACACGTGCAAGGGCTGCATGGAAGTCTGCTCTGTAGAAGGAGCCACAGGAAGACGTTGCCACCACATGGCCGGAGAGTGACTACAGCACAGCTGCAAATACGTCTTACGTGGGAATTCTATAAATCCAGAGCCAGCAGCCCCACAGTGGCAGTGCTTTTTCTAAACTTGGCAGCACTCAGACTCACCCAGAAAACTTAAAAGATTCAGACAGTCCCCGACTTAACAGTGGTTTGACTTAGGACTTAAAAACATTTTATAGTGGTGCAGAAGTGATGCGTGTTCAGTAGAAACCCTGCTTTGAATTTTGAGTTTTGATCTTTTCCTGGGCCAGGGATAAACTCTCTCCTAATGCTGCCCGCGGGCAGTGGGCTGCAGCTTCCTGCCTGCCTGTAACCAGCCAACACTACAGTTTCCTGTATTGTGAGCTGTCATGTTCACACGTGTGTTTCCAACTTGGGTAGTTCCAGCTTATAGTGGTCTCATCAGGACAGAACTCCACTGTAAAGTCAGGGAACATCTACACAATGACCAACACTCAACTCCTCGAGTCGGGGGTGCAGGCCGAACACTTGGACTTTAAGTTTCTCACGTGAATTGCACAGGAATCTGTGGGTAGATGGAGATTCCAGCCACACCTGTTGGTGACTCTGCACATTCTGGCAGAGACTAATGTGTAGGATAGAGCGCCGCAGGAGCAAGACAGCCTCCTCCTCAGTCTAAAACGTTCAGAGAGCAGGCCATTTGTCGGAGGTCCCACTGGGCTTTGAAGCTGAGGGTACCACAACCATTCCTCCAGAAAACACTCCGCAACACCACCAAGCCCTAGCTCTGCTGCTGTCACCGTACGACCTTCGGGCTGGTGGAACATATGCCCTGGGCTGCGACACTGTCTGCTCCAGTCGGTGAGCTCCAGGAAACCTAGATCCAGCCTGGGTCAGCTCTGTGGTCCCAGCAGGCAGCCAGGGCCCAAAATCCGGACCCAGGGCGTCCCAGCCAGCGCTCACTCTCGGGCCTGACTCTGTTGAGGGATGGATCATATGTCACCCACTACCTGTGCCCACACATCTTTTGGGAGTCGGGATGGACGGGGTGATGGTAGCACTGTGTTCTGAAAACAGGGTTGGAAGATTTTACTTTCTAGTGGGGACGGTGGCCTCTCGCCAACTGTGGCCAAAGCCCTGGAAGCACAGGCTGGGAGCAGACAAAGCATGTGGCACAGGTGGGGGGTGCTGGGGACAAGGCTCCTCCGCCTACTGGCTTAGTGGCCTGAAGGTGCTCCCTTCTGTGGGGAAGGAACACCCTGAATTCAGGTCAACCCCAAGATAGACAGGGAACCGTCCCCACTGTTCTCCTCCAGCGTCCTTACCTGTCCGATAGCTGTCCGGACACGAAGGAGCCACAGAGCACGCCCACGAAGAACAGGGAGGCGGTGAGGGGCGTCCTCCAGTCATCCTCGCACACCAGATTCCACTGCCAACAAAACAGCGCGCAGCGTGAGCCACGCCCTCCAGCAGCCCAGCTCCTAGGGACCCGAGGTGGCTCCAGGCACGCTCTCCTCCCTGTGCCAGGCTGCCACCTCCATGCGCGGGGCACAGGCCTTGTGCTCTGAGGCTGACTCCTGACTACCATTCACGGGGACGAGCGAGGTCTCCAGAAAGGAAAGGTGCTTGCGATACACAGGGCGGCCGCGGCTGCGCCTGGTGATCCCTCCCGTGCAAAGCAGTGTGAGGCCACGTAGGCCTCGCACTTTGAGGAGGCAGCCACACGTGGAAGGAGGGGGTTGGGAAGCCTCAGGAGCAGGGCTCGGTCACGGTCCCTCGATCCAGGGATAACAAATGTGTCCCCCCCCAGTGCGAGTGGTCCCGGGGACGCTGTGTTCTTATTTTCTCGGCAGACTCCTGTGGTAAGCTCTCTGTGCCCTGCTCCATTCTCGCCGGGGCCAGGCCTGGGACTTGGTGCAGGGCCCCACTGTGCTCTGCGGGCCTGCCTCCCTTCTCACACTCCTGCCCCACCCTGGCATCTTACTTGGTTCCTCCCATTCCTGGGGACAGGGCTGCTGTCATTCAGACAAGTGCCAGCTGGTCGGACCGTAAAATGAGCTTCAGCTGGAGGTTCAGTTCCAGCTATGATGAATTCAGCAAAATCTTAAGGGACGTTGCAAAGATTTCAAAGTGCTTTAATTGCCTCTCATAAAAAAAAAAGGCAGGCCCCGAGTGCTCTGGGCTGGAAGTGGGGGGCAGGCATTGCATCAGCAGCAGCAGCCTAGAGGAAAGACCCTCCGCCTCCCACGCACCCCCCCGCGGTGGTCCTGCATTCAAGGCTCCGCAGAGCAACTCAGCTCTTACTCCTCACAGCTGCCACAAAATTGCCGTTGACCGAAACACGCATTTTTATATTTATCCCACGCCTCATTTCCGTACAGCCAGAGGTGTTTCTAAAGACATCCACAAAAGTGTCAGGCAGAAATTTAAGGGGCATGAGAGAAAACAGGAAGGAACGAGGAGGGAAGCTGCACAAGCCGAGCAGGCGTAAGGCCGACCCACGTTGCCCTCCCTCGGATCGCGCAGTCCGCCAGGCGGGCTTCAGGGCCCGCCCCGCCCTCAGCGGCTCCCACCCGAGATGGGTCGCGGGACCCACATGGTCAACCTGCTCTGCAGGGGCGCAGCTTTTCTTTTCTTTTCTCATTTCATTTGCTTTTTAGAAGGTGTTTGCAATTTGTACTGAGCACGTTTACTCCGGGAGGTGGTGCATGAGCAGAGCACAGCCTAACTCCCCTCTTCTCGGTCCCTGCCTGCACCCCATCCCAGCTCCTTCCGCCTTTGGTATCCTGACTGTTTGAAAGGACTCTATTTCATTTTTCTTCGATTCTTTTTTCCATTCCATGTCTCTTCCCTTCCTGCCCCTTCCCTCTATCTCTTATTCCCCCATCCATCGTAAAAGATCTCCCTACTTCTATCTATCTATATGTTTAAATTTCTTATATAAGAGAAACTATGCGATATTTAAGCTTATCTCCTATTGCACTCAATATTATGGTGCCAAGGTACATACATCCTTTTACCTACGAATGCCTCCAGTTTATCTTTTTTTTTTTTGGTGGAACTGGGGATTGAACTCAGACCCTCGTGCTTGCCAGGGAAGCGCTTATTCCATTGAGCCATCTCCCCGGCCCCCAAGTTTATCTTTCTTTATGGGATGGTAGTACTCCATTGTATAGATGTATCATATTTTCTTTATCCATTAAAATAGTTACACTACTAATTTCTCTAAGTTCATCGAAAAGAAAGGTTTGTACTAATATTGTTTAGACAATTAAAAGTCTATATCTTGTACTCTAAGCAACTAATTCAAAGATAACATGCAATGTATTAACCATTGTTACTCTCCTATGATCTTATTTTGAAATTGTTTTTTTTTTCTTAATAAAATTAAAAGGACCAGAGAGATAGCTTAGCAGCATAAGCACCCACCTGGTAGGCACAAAGTCCTGAGTTCAATCTCCAGTATCTAAAAAGAGAATATCCTTAATAAAACTCAGGTTGAAATGTAATATAATTCCCATTGTAAACTATTAAAAAGGTAAAACCTTACTCTGTTCAAGGAATCCTTTGGGAGGTAATTAAAGTTAAATGAGGCCAGAGAGGTGGGACTTTAATCTATGGGGTCCTTGACTTTGTAAGAGGGGGCGGGACCTGCACTGGTTTGCGCTGCCTGGGACTCCCGAGTCCCCACCAGCAGGGAGGACCTCACCAGACTCAGCCACCGGATCTTGAGTTTCCCAGCCTTCAAAACCTTGAGTCAAACAAAACTTTACTCTTAACCATTGCTCTAGGACTAAGACACCCCGAGGCCCCTGAATGGGCTTCCCAGGCCAGGGCAGTGGGCCCTCTAATGTTGTGTTCATGTGCTCTGCCAGCACGCAGATCGGAAGTGGCAGAGAAAATACATGCCTGAACTAATGACCACCCAGCTCTCAAAATAACTAGCTTTAGAAGAGCTTGGCATCTGCCCTGGCACAGTAAGAAGCGAGTGGTTGAAGCCCCAAAGCCAAACTGAAATTTCAGGACCCCTTGTTCCAAAACTAAGAATTTCAAGGCAACTGTGGCAGAGCCCTGAGATCACCAGATATCATGTGTGGCACTCTGGCAGGCTGTGCAGGTAGCGCGGCCACCAAGCTGCACCTGGCAGGGCTCAGCCTGACCTCTCTGGAGCACAGAGCAGAGACGGAAGTTCTGAACGGGGGCGCTGGTATCAGAGGCAGCAGAGTTAGGTAGAAATTCATAGGCAGCCGGAGAGGTGCAGCGCCCTGGAAGGAACCGTGCAGGAGATAAGACACATTAAAACTGGCGGGAGATAAACTTGTAGAGGTCAGGCCACAAGATGGAGACGCGATGGCCAGGCCTGCAAGCCTCCCCGGAGAGATAAGCAGCAGCCTGAGATAGACTGTGATTAGCACCACCTGGGCATCAGATGCACCGCTGGGGACTGCAACATCTGGACCCATCCTCTCCCTCCTTTTCAGAAATGCCTTTGTTCCTTCCATATCAGAGGTTACAGATAAGGCATTCCTAAACACTGGGATTTGTTTAACTTTTTTCTGCACTTGGGCGCCCCCTGAGAGAAAGTAAAGCCCAAGGGAAATATTGACTGTAATGCCGTTTTGCAACTGGAGATGCTCTGTAAGAGAGGGGGACAGTGGTCAGAGAGGCAGCCTGTGTTCAGACCACTTTTTTGTGTTTGTGTTTTTGTTTCTCCTTAAGAGAGAGCCCAGGCTTATGTCCAAAGTGCAGATGGGAGCCCCACCACTCAGATGCCTCAGTCTGAAGTTCCTCTCCCTCAGTCCTCCTTTATTATGTTTTTTAGACAGGGTCTCTCCATGTGGTTGAGGCTGGCCTGAAACTCATGGTCATCCTCCTGGTTCAGCCTCCCCAGTGGTGGGATGACAGGTTTGCAGCACCATGCCGGCAGGGTTGGGACATCTAAGCCACTACTAACTAAAATCTCTCCTGGGCACTATCCACCTCCATCTGATTTCAGTGATGCTTCTCGGGGGGCTGGGGGAGAACTGGGTACTTCTCGTGTCTATGTGACCTTTGCCCCTTGGTGACCTCCGATCAAACAAGATTTGGGAAAGTTTTCAGATAATCCTGGAAAGTACTCTGAGATCTTTTTTTTTTTTTTTAATAACCCTAAACTTCCAAGTCTTTATAGTGAGGAAGCTCATAGTAGGTTTACTCACTAAAAGTGATTGAGACTGAAAATTTATTTTAATGAAAACATCTCACCAACTTTACTTTTTTTTTTTGAGACAGAGTATCACATGTAGTGTAGACTGGCCTCAAACTCACAGCAATCCTCCTGCCCCAGCCTCCTGCGTGCTGGGATCACAGGCCTGCACCACCATGCCCAGCTTCCCAACAACTTTAAATATAATTTGCATTTTTAAAATATGAAGCTCTGTGGCATCAGGACTTATTTCCTGCTCCACAGGGTTTTTTTTTTCAGGTAAGGTCTTACTTTGTTATTAGGCTGGTCCTGAATTATGTAGCCTGGGTCTGTCCTTGCAAGGATTCTTCTGCCTTTGCCCCCTGAGTGCTGGGCTTACAGGTGTCCACAGGCTTCAGCTGCCACTGCACTACTAACTCCCCGGTACTCTTGAGGCACGTGCTAGCCATGTTCTCTTCTGTGGGAAGTCCTTGAGGCAGCTTCAGAGGCTGGATTCTTACGAGATGCTTAACCACTTTCAGCTTTGCATTTACTGAAGGGATGTTCTTATGAACTTGAGGAGTGTGTGCTTTTTCTAATCCAAGCATCTTGATTACATCTTTTTCCCAATATGGTCATCTTATTGTACTTTTTATTCTGGTAACAACATGTAGTTTATGAGGGTGCTGTGGGTCCCCACCATACTTTTCATGATCTTCAGGTGAAGGCTGAAACACTTTATCTGGAATTCTTGATTTGGTAACTTTGTGACGAATCCAATCTGTACCCATGAGAGATTCCACACGTTTTGTCACAGTCTGTAGCCTGCCTGGGGGCCTGTGAACCACTGAACACAAAATCCCTGCCATAGTGTCGTAATTATATGTCTT